GCGAGTGGATCACGTGGTCAGGAGATCTAGACCATCCTGGCTAACACGGTGAAACCCTGTCTCTACTAAAAATACAAAAAATTAGCCGGGCGAGGTGGCGGGCGCCTGTAGTCCCAGCTACTCAGGAGGCTGAGGCAGAGAATCGCGTGAACCCGGGAGGCAGAGCTTGTGTGAGCTGAGATCGTGCCACTGCACTCCAGCCTGGGCGACAGAGTGAGACTCCGTCTCAAAAAATAAATAAATAAATAAATAAACAAACAAATGTTTTTCGATCTCACTGTATTGCCCAGGATGGAGTGCGGTGGCGCCATAATAGCTCACTGCAGTCTCCTAGGCTCAAGCGATCCTCTGGCCTCAGCCTCCTGGGCAGCTGAGACTACAGGTGTGTGTCACCATGCCTGACTAATTTATTTCTTAAGTTTTTCATCGAGATGAGGTCTCACTTTGTCACCCAGGCTGGTCTTGAACTCCTGACCTCAAGCCACCCGCCTGCCTCAGCCTCCCGAAGTGCTGAGATTACAGGCGTGAGCCACCGTGCCCAGCCCCAGCCTTATGTTTGTGTTCACCCCATCCCGATGGCAGAGTGGGGGACCCCTGCCCCCGTCACCCACCCCGTCGCGTCTGCCTTCCAGATCTTCATCTCCGTGGTGCTCATCTGCCTGGTGTTGGCCTTCAGCTTCGGTTTCTCCGTCAAAGAATTCAAAGGCCAGCACTACTACCTCTCAGGGCTGCATGCGAGCAGTGTGGCCGCAGAGGCCTTCTTCATCTTCTGGGGCTTCCTCATCCTGCTCAGTGTCACCATCCCGATGTCCATGTTCATCCTGTGAGTCCCTGCCGGCCGCGCGCCCGGTGCAGACACAGAACGGGGAGGCATGGGGGAAGGCGCACAGCAGGCGGGGCTGACCGTGACCCCGAGTGCCTCTGCAGGTCCGAGTTCATCTACCTGGGGAACAGCGTCTTCATCAACTGGGACGTGCAGATGTACTACCAGCCGCAGGACGTGCCCGCCAAGGCCCGCAGCACCAGCCTCAACGACCACCTGGGCCAGGTGGAATACATCTTCTCGGACAAGACGGGCACTCTCACGCAGAACATCCTGACCTTCAACAAGTGCTGCATCAACGGCCGCATCTACGGTGTGGCCCCAACCCCTGAGCTCCCGGCTGGGTCCTCGATCTCCAAGGGGCTCGGGGTGCCCGAGAACCAGAGCCACGTCTGGCCCCAAGCCCAGCACCCCCGCCCGAGTCAGAACCAGGGAACTGTAGCAAGATGGCCTGGTTTTTTTTTTTTTAGAGGGGGCCAGCAAACTTTTTTTTTTTCTCTTTGAGACGGAGTTCTGCTCTCGTTGCCCAGGCTGGAGTGCAGTGGTGCGATCTCGGCTCACTGCAACCTCCGCCTCCCGGGTTGATTCTTCTGCCTCGGCCTTCCGAGTAGCTGGGATTACAGTTGCATGCCACCCGGCCTGGCTAATTTTTGTACTTTTTTTCAGATGGGGTTTCACCATGTTGCCCAGGCTGGTCTCGAACTCCTGACTTCAGGTGATCTGCCTGCTTCAGCCTCCAAAATATTGGCATTACAGGCATGAGCCATCACACCTAGCCAAACTTTTAAACAGTTTTTTTTTTTTTT